TTTGATGATTTTAAATACTTGTGTACCAAATCATCGTCAGTTTACAAGAATAGCCAAGTAGACTATTTTGACATATCGTTACCAACTCGTCACGAACCCAATTATTCGCGTTTGTTTGGAGACCGTTTTTCCCAGAGATAAGAATCTTTGATAGCCAAACAGCAAAATAGTCGTGGGAATGAACCGACGTATGCATCTATTTTGGAAATTACATTTTTTTTTTGTATCATGTCAGCTTTATTGACAATCCGTGGAAAAGTAGCCAATAACAAATACCGAATGTTCACATAGCTATCTTATGTGGCGGCGTACCGTACATCCACGAACTACAAAATATAATCTGTCAAAAGGTATACACGAGTCACGGGCACCCTTCTTAACACAAATAATTATAAAACGTTTAGTGACAACTATATTGAATACATCGATAGTGATAATGTGCATGGTAGTTCTCCACGGCTATTGATATTATCGAACTATATTATATTATGATCAAAACTGTCGTGTGACAGTGTGAGAGAATGTCGTGTTGAGAAATGCTATACATTTGATATCGTACGAGTGATGTATAAATCTGCGTGGAGCGCTCCGTAACACGTTTTTCGACACGTCGCATCGAAATATGTATGGGATTTCCTAACTCAACATTCTCTCACACCATTACACAAGCTCTAGCAGTTTACTACTCTAGCTGATTCACGAGTCAGTGAACACTTTTTGACGAATCTATCATAGGTCGTTGGACAACCGTCGTATCTATAATCGTTATTGAAAACCCGGCTAAATATACGACGACGATGACGGGTTTTTCGACGCTGAAAACGCGTGTTTCGAAAACGGCCAGTTCACTCAATAGGTGTATATTATACAACAATGTAAATATACTTGTATAGATAAAACGGACAATATTTCTCGGGTATATATGAATCGTAAGCATTCGCGCGCGGCACAGCACTCTCGTCCCGTTTTCGCAGTTATTTATTCGCGCGTGTACCGCGATCTGTTATACAATACCTCAATTATAATGGACAGGTAGGACGCGTATACATACCACGTGCCTATTGTAAAAGGGGGCGATTCGCCTCGTTTGACCGTCACAATTCACAACAATAATAATATTTGCTATAACAACGAAGACGACCGGTCGCGTTTTCGAGGATAAATACATATTATTATACAATATTATATTATGTATAACAGATACCTACTTATAATAATATAATATAGAGAGATCGCTTATAAACGAGACGGAAAGGACCGCCGTCGTCGAAATAACAATGCCAGTGATAATGTCTGCGTTCTCGATTCGAACTCGCGGTGGTATACATTTAATGATATTTAAGCCGGCCGTTTTATCCGTCGGGCCAGCGAAACGCCCGCCAAACCTTTTTGATGTCACCGCCGTCATCGTGGCCGTCCATACACGTCGAATCGCGTCCGGAACGCCCGAATTTGGCCGGGTCTCCGTTCTCGCCGCACCGCGAACCGTTCGCGCGAAACGACGACGGCCCGAGATGTTATATCCCGCCGCCTCCCACCCACACCGACCGCGGACCCATTGTGTTTTCTTCCGCCGCCGCCCCTCAAAAAACACTCGGGATACCGGTCTTCTCCGTCAATAATAATAATAATTACTTGTATTATTATTATTATTATTAATATTATACGTTCTATTCGGGGACCGCTGTTCGTTTATCTTTGTTCGCGGGTGTAATTCGGCCCGGGTTTATATACTTTAGGTATGTTTATAGACGTGCCCGCCTATACGGGCGATTCCTTTGCGGGACGACACGACGAGTTCCGGGACAGTCGAAATAACATTATTATACCCGTTTATTTTACACTTATGTACCAGCTATCGTCGAATAATATTATCATTTCTCCCGCGAACGGCATGTAATATAGCGAACGCCCCAATTGAAATGAACGTTTATTGTAATGTTGTTATACTATTGATATTCTAATAATACTATAGTACACTACGAAAAACTCCATAAATCAAATATTGTAAACGTTCGTGGTCCCGCGTGTAACCCCCTCACCACCATTTCACCAAAACAATTTCGTTTTCGACGTTGGCGAACGTATAAAACGGGGCGGGACCGTTTTCCGCCAAACGCGCGAAACCGTTACCCGCCGAATACTGCTTTAGGTTAGAAGCACGTCTATTCGCCTCCGAATTAATTTTGTTTTATACGATGGGAAATGTACAGTGGGTCGAAAACCAGGTCGTACTCGTATTTTCGGAGGGAATTGGTTAAGGTCATTATATGACGATGAAGATACTATAATAATTTTTCTTATCTATATAAAACCACTTTTTTCCATAGCGTCGATGACGTTTCGGGAAAATTAAACGATATTTGTACGTGGATATATAGGTAAAGATAATAAATACAGATTTATCTAGACGATAAAGACGAAAGACGAATTTCAGTTACATAGACTCTAGATGACATAGAATCATTTGAATGGCACCAGTCTTGTTAAAAATACTTTGTTTCTGAAAGGAAATCTGACTAAGGTGGTACTTTAAAAAAGTTGTTTTTTAATTTTTACGGTACTTTTCATAATAAATAGGAATAACTGGAAAAATGTAGGAAAAACGGGAAAAGTTACGAAATGTATTATTACAAAATATTTATGACCGAACCAAGAGTGTGTACTAGGAAGGGGGTTTAAGAGGCCCCTAAATTTCATGAAAATTATGAAGAAAAATAAAATGTTGGTTTTAATTTCATTACTCGATAGTAGGTATAAAAAAATTAATATTATTATCGTTTTTAATTTTTTGTGGTTTTCCTGCTTTTGGAAAATTATATTATACAACTGATACAGTGATATCCCATTGTCCGCATTATCATCAAAATCATATGAATCACGTTATCATTTGGGCTACGTTTGGGTTTATCTAGATTTTTATTACAGTTTTAACGATGACAAATAAACGAAATTTAATGAAAGGCCGATGCGATAACATCATAGCATAATAATAATAATGATTTAATATAATATCTAATATTTCATTTGTTAATTTAGTTAATGTTCGACACTCGTTCGGTTTCAATTCTTTCTTAGTATGTATTCGGTGTTAGAAAGTTTATGTATATAGAATAAATGCGCGAAAACTTTTGTGAAAATGAAGAAAAATAATTCTAATCAAACGATATTATTTAGATAATGTACCAGCTAATTCACCAGAACAATATTATAAACGTACCGTTTTTTTTGCCACTATTAGAACATTTTATTGTTCAACTAGACGAACGATCTTCTTCATTGTATATTATCCATTTTACAATCACTAATTTCAAAGTATGTAACTCAAAATAATACATATTTGATCAAATTTAAAGAATGTGCACTGTTTTACAAAAATCGGAATTGTTCAGAATCGTTTTTCGTTTGCGACGATTATTCGTTGCGTACGGATGTATATTAAATTTCCCCTCCACCTTATCCCCACTTCTAATTTACAGAAGTGGCCCACCCATCGTGCGAAGCATATCCATTTGTTTTTTTTTTTCCAATACATTGGTATGCCTCAACATATTTCTCCATTCAAAATATTTTAAACACTTGAACTATTATTTATGGTTATTTAACTTAATCATGTACAAGAATCTCAAATGTTTTATTTAAGCATATGTATTAATTGTATTTGTAAGTGAGCTTATTATATTAGGTTGAATTTAGGTATAGGTAAATTGCATTATTATAGCGATTATAATATTGAGTTATAAATTATAACAATATGTTTTGAAGAAATCATATTACATATATCTAACGTATGATATACTATTTTACATACAATTAAAATGTTATATTGTTAAGCATGAACATATTATGATATAAGGCTAGTACGAACAATATTTCATATTTTAGATTCTGAACGACGCGAGGAATGTATTGGATTTACAATGTTTATTTTTTTTTTTTTTAATCAACTTTTCTACCAGAAATCTTTGATTAACAAGTTGAGTATCTTGTTTGAAAGGAAATCTGAGTGGTACTTTCAGAAGGTCATTTTTTGGTTTTTTAAGCAGTTTTCATAATAATTGGGAAAATCGGGAAATAATGTAGGAAAAACGAGAAAATTTACGAATTGTATAATTTTCAACTATTTTTTATGTGTCATAAAAATAAAAATAATCGTATAGACTTTAAATTTAGACAAAAATGTATATTTGTGTTTTTATAGCGTGATCAAATTTTCAAAATATTTTAGCCATTCTGAAACTATTTATATATATTTTAGTTTTGCGAGATTTTTTCGTAATTTGTAGCCAATTTTTCGTATATGTGAAGAAAATTGTTAGACCAAACAAAAATGCTTGAAAATCTAACAAGAGATTCATTATAAGTCTTACTTTTTGGGGAAAAAAATTGAGTGTAATGTAGATCTTTTGTTTAATAAGTATTTTGAATAGGTATTAAGTTTTGACGAAAACCATAAATATTACGACCTTTCAAAACATGTATTACCGATCTATAATCGGAATAATTTTTCGTTAGCAATGATTACGTACAGATGTACATTAAAATCCCTTATATATACTACCTTCCAAACTTCACACCTATAACAGCGGCCTATTCATCGTGCGAAGTACGAGGTGTGGCTATTAAACAACGAGACTGGTTACGAAAAAGTGTTCTATTATAAAAATTATTCTTCATTCAAATGCTCCCCTGCAATATACTCCCCTCCCCTTGCCACACACCTTTCCATACGTTTTTTCCATTGATCAAAGCAGTATACTCCCCTCCCCTTGCCACACACCTTTCCAACTCCCCTCCCCTTGCCACACACCTTTCCATATCCCCTCCCCTTGCCACACACCTTTCCATACGTTTTCCCCTTGCCACACACCTTTCCATACGTTTTTTCCATTGATCAAAGCAGTGCTGGAAGTCTTCTTTGGTGAGGGCCTTTAGGAGCTCTGCCGTTTTTTGCTTTACCGCTTCCATCGACTCAAATTGCGTCCTTTTCAAAGCAGATTTTATCTTTGGAAACAAAAAAAGTCGCACGATGCCAAATCTGGCGAGTACGGCGCGTATTCGAGCACTGGAGAGCGCTTACCGGCCAAATACTGCTTCACAGATAGCGCGTTATGGGCAGTTGCGTTGTCCTGGTGCAAAATCCATGAGTTGTTCTTCCACAACTCGGGCCGTTTTTTACGAACTTTTTCTCGCAGTGTTGCCAAAACTGATAAATAGTAAATCTGGTGTACAGTCTGACCCTCTAGAACCGACGATCTCGAGTCATCACGATACCGTTAATATCAAAAAAAACAATCAACATTGCCTTAAATTTTGATTTGGACATTCTTGCTTTNATCCATGTTTCGTCGCAAGTTATAATGTTTTTCATCAGTCCGGGATTTTCTTTTAACTTTTCAAGGAAATCTGAGCAGACCTGTTGACGCAAGAACTTTTGGTCAGGAGTCAGGTTTTTTGGCACCAACTTCGCACAGACTTTTGTCATATGTAATTCCTCATGTAAAATTTTTCTAACCGTTTCTTTATCGGCGTTTACAGCCTCGGCAATCATCCGGATGCTCATTCGACGATCTGCACGCACAATTTGGTTGATTTTGGTCACTGTTTCCGGAATTGAAACAGTGACAGGGTGACCTGGGCGCTGGTCATCTTCAGTGCTCTCTCGGCCCTCACTGAAGAGCTTATACCACTCAAAAACACCTAAATGAGATAGATAATTGCCTCCATAGGCCTCTTGCAACAATTTATAGCACTCGGTCGGAGTTTTTTTTCAATTTAACGAGAGATTTGAGATTTATACGTTGCTCCTGTTTTTCGTCACACATGGTTTTCGGCACGAGAAAAAAACATGTTCGTTTCAAACCACTAATACACAAATACTATAATAGTGACGAAAACGTGTTTTGGTACGTGCATAGATAAGATACCCAGATACTCAACGCATTACTCGTTTTTTTCACTACCCATTTAGGGCGCCCTCTAGGCGAGCAGTCTCGTTGTTTAATAGCCACACCTCGTATGTCCGTCTTTTTTTTGAACGTTTAAATTGTATTGAAAAAATATGATTATTTATAAACTTTAAAATTTCAACACTATTAAATAGGAGTTACTCACAGAGTTAAAAACAGGTTTTTTTCGTTTGAAACGTGCTTTTTAAAAAATGTCCGTGAAAATATCGGGAATTATAATATGCTTAACTATAATATAATATTATAATACAACTAATTATAAACAGAAATCGTATCGTATAATTGCATAACAAAATAACAATTTAAAAAATATGTTATTTCTTTATCTACTAGTAATAAAAACTTTTTCTGATTTTAAATGAATAAGGACTGTAAAAATATAGGGAATAAAAATCTTCACTCTTCAAAACGTATTATTACAATAGTTATTTTACATTTAATTTTTGAATGTCTAAAAGGTTTTAAATATTTACGTATAAAACGTTTCTAACATAATGACTTATTTAAAAGGTTTAAAACAATATGTTTGAAACACTTCGTAATCTTGGTCATTCAAATGCGGTCTTTAGCAATAAAATAATAATGTCTAAGTATATCTGTTTAAAATGCAGAATATAAAAATGTTTAAAATCATATAACATTAAGAATAATAATATTATGTACATTCGTATTTGTTTGGAACCAATCAAACTCGATATGCAGTATGTTGTTATCAAATATATTATTATTGTAATTCGTCACACTGATATCGTCTCTATAACAGTACCTGCGGTCACCCTATACATTACGAGCGTATACATCACGTGCATTATTATTATTATTATAATATAAGCCCGCGACTAGGTTGTCACCGGAGTTAAATTATTGCGGCAAGGACCTATCTATGTGTGTGTATATATTTATATGTACACGGGCGGTTTTCTGCGGCGATGTACTTGTGTGTGCACTGCAGTTTGTCATATACACATTTACAGAGTGTATAATAATAATAATATCATGATGATAATAATATAATATAAATGAGCGTGTATGTGTGCATCGAGTACCGGATGTCCCCGCGCGGAGATTTATCAATTTTAAGTGGTCGGAATACCTAATGTAAACACCACTTTAAAATGATAAATCTCCGGCGGATAACCTTGCGCGCCGCACCCCGCGAATTAATTATAATATTCGCTTCGTGTAGGCGTTTTCCGACGGCGGCAGTGTTGAGCACCCCACGGATAACACCCGCGACGATTTGTCTAAATAGTGTGCGTAAAGGTATACGATTATGTATACTTCCGTATTGTTTGAAGGTGGTCGAAGACAGTTCGTGGATTTTCTTTGAATTTTTGCAAAATCCGAAAATTGTCCGCTAAAAGTCATCTCAACAACCACCTATATTCATTTAAACAAGGCTCGGAATTCGTACGTATTAAAAACCACCGAAAAACACTCTAAAATATTACTTATAGTCTTTTTAGATAGGTAATGTATCATTTGTATTATTTTATTATGAAAAAAAGAAAAAGAAAAGTGAAAACTTTGACTTGGTTTGAGAAATGGAGAGTAACATTCGAAAGAAAGGGACTCAGGATAAGTAGTAGTAAAACAAAGTATATACATTATACAGTATGAGTTTGGAAGAACGGGACAAGAAGTTGACAGAACAAGACAGCTAATAATCGGTGATGATATAGGTTGAGAATTTTATGTACTTAGGATATTTTTTATAAGAGAACAATAACTTTAACGAGAATTTGAAACATAGGTTTATGCATGGTTAGATAAAATGGAGAGAAACATCAGTTATTTTATGTGACGAAAGAATTCCAATGATACTTAAAGTTCTATAATAGTGTGGTGAAACCGGCTGTGTCGTATGGTTCGGGGTGTTGAGCGATAGATTAGTTAAGTAAGTTGAATAGTTCAGATAATGAGTGTAAGAGAGATGAAAATGTCCCAGTGAATGAGTGGAGTGACAAAAGAAGACAAGATAAAGAATAAGTTCCAAAGAGGTAGTTAAGGTGTGGCTTCGATAGTGGACAAAATGAGAAAAAATAGACTGAGATGATTTGAAAATGTCAAGTGGAGAGAGGAATCAGAAGCAATAAGAATTATAATGAACATGGTTGGAGGAGGAGATAAGGAAGGAGGAAGATTGAAAAAGAGGGTATTGAGAACGATATGAAGACGGCGGGTATATGCGAAGATGATGTCGGGGATCGGATCAAGTGGAAGATTTATACGAAGGTGTTCGACTTAAACAATACGGCGAAGAAAAAAAAGAAGAAAAAAAGAAGTAAACTTTGACTTGGTGTAGCGACTATAGTATTGAAGTTTTACACGTATGTCTATTGCTGTTGTATTTATTCATTCTAATCAAACCAAAATATGAATTTAAGAGGCCTGGAGCCGGTGTTTTTAATTTTCTCCAACTTTGAAAAATTAGTTCATACAATTTTAATTTCAACCCTGAAGATATAACTTTTTCACTGATATACTTCCACACACCCATTTAGGGGAAGAGATCCAGCCATTTTTAATGACCTAAATTACTTTCTGGTGATAAAGATTAATCATTTTTAGCATAATATTTTTCTATCAGTTTGTTTGAGAACGAAAAACAATTGTACAGCTTGCTTTGAACTATAATTTCATTTGATTTAAAACAAATTGTATAATAATTTAATAAAAAAAGTTAAAAATCAACTTTTTTTAAAGGTATTTCATAGATATTTAGATAAAAATATTGAAAGACGAAGTTCAGTTTGAGCTGCAAGATATCTTGATCTTTCTACCAAAAAAATAACAATCAAAATCAAGAGTTTTTCTCATACAGCATAGTTTTGAGTTAAAACACTAACTGGCATCGGGCCCATAAATATTATGTTAAATTAAACACTAAGAGAACCATTTATCTTTAGATAATATTTTGAATTAGCTGAATTTAAATTATTAAGTCGTATAATGTAAACAATTTGCATTAAAATTAGGTAGGTAACAAAATGACCGAAAAATAAAAATGTATCATAATATAAAAAGTAAGTTTAACCTTTGAACTTTAAAGTGTTTATCACATCAAACGAATTATGTACTTAGCAATTATTGTTTAATTACCAACCCTTTATCCCCCCCCCCCCAAAAAAAAACACTATATTGAAATCCGGGCCTTAATAATACGACCTTTCCTCCGAATCTACTACCCGTTTTGGAGGGGGGGAGAATGGAACAAACAAAAATAACTTTGGGAAAAACACATTTATCTCTCGTAAAACACTCATATTTCAATATTTTTTATTTAAAAGAATAATTTTTACAGGTTACATTGAAAACCATTAATTAAATTATTTTACGAGACGTGAGAAATGTTATATAAAATATACGGCAGTTTTGGTAGTCATGTGTAAGATTTAATTAATTGTAACAGATGGAATCTTCTTTTTCTATCTATACAATTTATAAATTAATATAATATGTATTTTGGGGTAATTTGTTTTAAAGAATTGCTTAACCGAGGTTCATTCAGAATTGTTTTTCGTTAACAATGATTATCGTTGCTTGTGGATGTACAAATTAAATAATTCTATGCTTCCTTTCTAATTTTCAATTTTGAAACGTTCATAATTATAAAACAACTATAATTTCACAACACAAAATTAAAATAAATCAACGAAATTCCTAAATGTTTAAGCATTAGTATTACTTGAATTAAACTCTAAAGAGATCATCGCAGTTGACACTTACCATCTTTATGTTTTTAACGGTCAGTACAGCAAACACATGTAAAACAAAACGAAAAGTCCTTTAAAATAAATAGGTAAGAGACGATTATACAGTTTTTAGATGCCGAATATTTGAAAACAACGGCATCGATGTTTTTTATTATGTAGCGACGTCAAGCATTATTTTTTTATTTTGCTAGATTTAAACGGGTTAACGTCAAGTGAGTTTTGGAGGTAGTCTTATGAGAGAACGATGCGCTCGGGTTCCATGCCATTCATTTTGTTATATATTTTTACTGAGACTAGGTAATAGTAATTACGGAAAAAATATCTAGGTAAATATGCCAATATACTATAAATTGGTAAGAGAAAAATTGGCTCTTGGAAAAAAATTGTATATTTAAATTAAATTTTTTCATCTGGCTATTTTTGTTGTTGGCCATATTTTCCTCTGGTTATTTAAGTTTATGAACATTTTTATCGGGGTATTTAATCGATGCTCATTTTTGTTTAGACGATTTTTACCAACTATTAATATTTTACCTGGTTAGAAAGATAGAGACTTCAAACGCCACCGTGATAGTCTTTGAAATATGTGTAATGAAATGTATGGTGACGACACGCGTTTCACTTTATACTTCTGTATAAAATCATCTAAAATAAATAATTGGATCAACTAGATATTATCTAGATAAATGGCTTCAAATCTTAATTTGTAAATTTTTTTAGAAATGATATGGTAAATATTTAGAATAATATATATTCACATGGTTTGCTAAATTAATTATTAACACGTTATATATCAATTACGTCATAACCTTCCCATAACTCTTATGTAAAATCTAGATGTGTGTATTTGTCTTTTTTCTTTATCCATACAAAATTAT